TACCTGGCCAACTGACTGGAAGAGATCCATATTTGTACCCATTCCAAAGAAAGGTGATCCCACAGAATGTGGAAATTATTGAACAATATCATTAGTATCACACACAAGTAAAATCTTGCTGAAGATAATTCAAAAATGGATGCAGCAGTATACTGACAGAGCTAGATTCAGAAAAGGATGTGGAACAAGGGATATATCATTGCTGATGTCAGATGGATATTGGCTGAAAGTAAAGAATACCAGAAAGATATTTACCTGTGTTTTATTGACTATGCAAACACATTTGATTGTGTGGATCATAACAAATTATGGATAACATTGAGAAGAATGGGAACTCTAGAACACTTCAATGTACTCATGAGGAACCTGGACACAGACCAGGAGGCTGTCGTTCGAACTGAACAAGGGGACACTGCATGGCTCAAAATCAAGGAGGGAGTGCATCAGAGTTGTATCTTTTCACCATACTTATTCAATCTGTATGCTGAGTAAATAATTCGAGAAGCTGGATTATAAGAAGCATGTGGCATCAGGATTGGAAAAAGACTCATTAACAATCTGCAATATGCAGATGACACTACTTTGCTTGCTGAAAGTGAAGATGACTTGAAGCACTTACTGGTGAAGACTGAAGACTACAGTCTGCACTGTGGATTACACCTCAGCATAAAGAAAATGAAAATCCTCACAACTGGATGAATAAGCAGCATCACGATAAATGGAGAAAAGATTGAAGTTGTTAAAGATTTTATATTAATTGGTTCCACAATCAACTATCTATGGGAGCAGCAGTCAAGAAATAGGACAACATATTGCTCTGGGCAGATCTGCTGCAAAAGACCTCTTTAAAGTGCTGAAGAGCAAAGATGTCTCTTTGAAGACTAAGGTGCACCTAATCAAAGCCATGGTGTTTTCAATAGCCTCATATGCATGTGAAAGCTGGACACTGAATAAGAAAGACCAAAAAAGAGTTGATGCTTTTGAGGTGTCGTGCCGGCAAAGTATATTGAAAGTACTATGGACTGCCAGAAGAACTAACAAATGTGTCCTGGAGGAAGTACAGCCGGAATGCTCCTTGGAAGCGAGAATGGCCAGATTTCATCTCACCTACTTCAGTCATGTCAGAAGGGACCATTCCCTGGAGAAGGATATCATGCTTGGTAAAGTGGAGGGTCAGTGAAGAAGGGAAAGGACCTCAACGAGATAGACTGACACAGTAGCTGTAATGATAGGCTCAGGTATAGCAAGGATCGTGCGGCTGGTACAAGACCGGGCAGTGTTTTGTTCTGTTGTACATAGGGCCGCTGTGAGTTGAAGCCAACTCGATGGCACCTAACAACATATACATAAAAACCAAAGATTAGTGGCTACCAGGAGTAGGAGGGAGGGGGAGAGGGGAAGCTTTTATCTGGGGGACAATGAGTTTATGCTAATGTTGGTAGAGTATTTTGGAATAGCAATAATGGTGGCACAACATGAAAAATCATCAGTCTCCCTGAGCTGTGAATGGGGAACTTGTTATGTTGGCAGAAAAAAAAAAAAAAGTCAAGGAAAGATAAGTATATGGAAGGAAATTTTCTTTGTTGATTACCAGGGAGGGAAGGGGAGGGAAGGGAAAGTTGCTAGATAAGTAGAGACGAGTATTGATTTGGGTGAAGAGAAAGGCAATTTACCAGAAGCGAGTGATCAACAAAAAAGGAAAAGGAAGACAGAGAGGTGCACAAGAGGCACAGAAAACAAAGATGAAACTTTTACACACACAGCACTGTTAGCAGTGATAACAGACACTAATCTACTGTAAATAGATGGGCAGACAGGCTGAGTGACCACCTATGTCTAGGCAAAAGGGAGTATTCCCATGACTGTACATGTATTTGTATGTACTGTAACAATGTCCATGTATAATAGAGCTAACAAGGGGCAAAGTTATAACTTCTTGGCCACAGCCAACTGCCCTGAGAGAGTGAGTAGTTGGACCTGTGGGCTCAGGACCAGGGTTGCAGAGGGTATCAGCTCAAACAACATAACATACTACACAAAAACATTATTCTACATCCCACTTTGGTGAGTACTGACTGGGGTAGAAGCTTGCAAGCCATCTAAGATGCAACAACTGCTCTCTCCTCATCTGGAGCAAAGAAGAATGAAGAAAACCAAAGACACATGGAAACAATTAGTCCAAGGTACTAGTGGATCATTTGCACCTCAGCCTATATGACCATGAGACCAGAAGAACTAGAGGATGTCTGGCTGCCATCGTCAACCACTTGCAAAGGGATCAAAACAGGAAATCCTGGATAAAATGAGAGAAAAATGTGGAATGAAACTAAAAATAAAATAAAATAAAATAAAAAGACCAGGCCTACTAGTCTGACAGAAAGATGAAAGTCCTCAGACTATGGCCCCTAGTCACCCTTCGGACCTGGAATTGAACTCACTCCCACTGCTTCCAGACAAATAATAGAGAGGTGTATAAGGTGAATATTTATACCAAGTAAGCACAGTGCAGTATTTGCTCAGGGAGAGAGCTCACAGGGCAGGAATGCATAGGAAAGAAAGACACAGGGAAAAGGTAACCACAGGGAGGAAGTGGGCAGAGAGGTGCAGCATTATGAGGGTTTCAACCAATGTCATGAAACAAAATGTGTATGAACTGCTGTATGCAAAGCAAATTTGCTCTGTAAACTTTCACCCAAATCAAAATTAAAAAAAAAAAAAAAAAAAAAAAAAAAATCCAACAGGGACAGGGAGGGATTGCAGGTTAACGGGAGGGGCTAGCCACAGAGCGCCTCAACTATGCTAGCACGTTACCTGTCTGTCAAAATTCATACAACTGCATCCTACAAAGAATAAATCTCGCTATGTATAAATAAGTAGTAATAAAATAATAACCACATAGGAACAGAGAATAAATCACTGGCTGCCAGGGGCCAGGGTGAGGAGAGAGCCCAGGAGACCTCTGGTGGTGATGTTGGGGGCTGCCCCGCATCTGGATTGGATGGTGGATACTCAGAAGCACAAAGGGAAGCTAGGTTCCTGCTAGCCTCCATGTTACCTCTTTGTCTAGAATGTTCTTCCCACCCCATCAGAGTTGTTCTCCTGGCCACTGTGGGTACTGGCTCCACCACCACTTTCACAAGGACCTTCCTTTGGCCAGTCCAGCTCCAGCATCGTCTTCACATCTCCCTGCTTCATCTCCACAGCACTTAGCCCTGTTCTCTAGCTTATCTGTCTCCCTCACTGGAGGTCAGGCACCACAGTACCAGCCTCCCCACCTAGTCACCCACCACAGTACCGAGCCTCCCCGCTGGCTCACCACTGAGTCTTCATGCCCAGCTTAACACTGGCAGTCATCAGGCTCCCCTGGTCCCAGGGAGCATGTGCACACTGCCTCTGCCTCCTCACCTTGCACACGTACTTGATGAACTCCAGGGCTGGGTTGTTGAGCACGAGGTGAGAACCTGGGAGCTGAGGGAACATCTCTGAGGGCTCCGTCAAGTTCCGAGAGCCTGTGACTTTCTTCTGGATCTTCTGAGTGATGGTGAAGAAGTTCTGGGTGAGCTCGTTTGCCACATAGTCCTGAGAGAAGGTGATCATTCCTGGGGAGAGAAGGCCACTGTACCTGTCACCATCTCACACAATGACAGGAAGCCAGGGGAGAGCTTGGGAGGGGCTCAGGCCTTGGAATCTCTGTGCGGACCACCCAACATTCCCAGGGTTACATGCCCTGGCACTCACCAGGCAGGGCTCCGGCTGCGCCCTCTGCCTCCTGGGAGAACTGGCTGGCCCCTCTCCTTTTCACGGGGGTGCTCCCTGGGGCACCACGTCTCAGCTCCTCCTTCATGCTGTGGTACACAGCCACGATGTATGCTGTCAGGAGAAAGTAGGTGGGAGTGCTGGGAGCCCAAGGAGTCTGCCCAGCTGTGTCTGAGACTTCACGACTGGCATGACTTATCACTGCCTTTACAGGAGACCTGGTGACATAGTGCCTAAGGCATCTGACTGCTCACCAGAAGGTTGGCAGTTCAAACCCACCAGCCACTCCATGGAAGGAAGACTGGGCAATCTACTTCTGAAAAGATTTACCACCTTGGAAACCCAAAGGGGGGGGGTCACTATCAGTTGGAATCAACTCGATGGCAGTGAGGTTTTTTTTTTATCACTGCCTTTACAGGAGCCCGAATTCCATGAGAGAAGTGGAGATAGTGGGCCCGTGCTGATGCCCATGCTTGTCCTTAGAGGCAGCACTATTTCCACAAAGCCACGTGCATTATCCTTCATGTGCATGATGAGGGAGAAACAGCACAACCAAGGCAAGATGCCCACATGAGCAAGCCTCCTCAGAAACTCCACTAGGCCCATATGTCCAGAAGAGAATCCAAGGACAAGCAGATAAAGACAGAAGTCAGACCACCCCAGCACTTTTACATGATGGCATGTATGTGTGTCCATCTGCTGACAGCTTAATCACCATGCTCACCATGAACCCTGAACTAGCCAGGTGCTCAGTTTACGCACTCCATCCTCTGCAGAGCAGGACCAGCAGACACGCAACAGAAGCACAGGGCATCTCACACCAGAGTGAAGCCTCAGAGCCGCCAGGGACAGGTGCCTTCTAAAGTCCCTGGTCTCATTTCTCTGGGGGCTTATCTTGGTATGTGGGGCCACCAAAATAGCTTTGTGGAGCAGATATGAGAACCACCAATGCCCACTTGGGAGCAGCTGTCCTCAGCCCTGGCCCAGTGCTTTTGGGGTGGGACAGAGCCACCATCCTTGAGCACAGGTGAGGCAAAGCAGGCACTTCAGGGCTAAATCTCACCAACTCAGGACTCCAAGGCATGCTCAAGTCAGATGCACTTTCTGACTGTTCACCTTCATGGAGCCCAGCTGCATCCCTGACCCACCGACGAACCAGTGCATGACCCCGCTGTGACCCTGGAGGATGGACACCCCTGTGGCGTTCTCACAGCTCACCTGAGACAATCATGAGGAAGTAGCTTTGGCAGGAGGCTGCCTGTGGCAAAAACTGCAAAATGTTCCAATTGTTTTCCAGTAAATCCTCCACTCCAGCATCCTCCAAGCCTTCTTCCTCCACCTCCTCCTCTTCCTCTGCCTCCTCCTGCTCTCTTTCTGCTTCCTCCCCGTCCAGGGACTCTCGCTGCAACATGAGGCACAATCTGCTGTGTCTGCATGACAGCTTTTCTTCCTGTTCACAGCCTGCCTGCTCACCTGCAGAGCTCAGCTTCAACCCCACCTCCCTGGACAGGCCTCCTGGGCTGCCCTGTCTGACAACTCCTGCCCCCAAGCATCCCCAGGCCTTGACCTTGCTTTGTGTTTACTGTGAGCGCTCACATTGCTGACACTGTATTTTGTACTTACTGGTTTGTTTGTTCATGGTCTTTTTCCCACAAACACAGCCTGCTGTGTTCACTGTGGGGCCACCAAGCCTAGACTAGTGTCTAGCACATGTTACCTTATCACTAAGTATTTGCTAAAAGGATGGACACTGGCCTCCAAAACTGCTTCTGAACGCACACTTGACTTCCCCAAGACTGATGCCTCTTACCTGCCCACAGTGAACACGAGATGAGACTTTTCCTTTGATTCCCCCGTAGTTAGACGGGTCCATCCAGAGAAGAAACTCCCAGCATCGGGAGAAAGAGATGCTTAGGGAATGGAAGAGCTCTTTAGAGTGGATGCTGCAAAAGAAGCAGGGCAGGAACTTCCTCACTGAAATCAGGTTCTCTCCAGTGGCTGCTTAGTTGACTCTGGGTCATGGCGACCTCATGCACGTCAGAGCACAACTGCATTCCAAAAGGGCCTCAAGGCTGTGACCTTTCTGAAGCAGATGGCCCGACCTTTCTCCCAAGACACCTGAGTGTGGGTTCAAACAGCCCACCTGTCAGACAGTGGTGGAGTGAGAATCATTGCTGCCACCCAAGGGCTCCTTTCTCTACTTTCTCCTCATTTATAAGTGAATGTAAAGTGGATTTGGATTATGTTATTCCTCAAGTTATCTGGGGAAGAACAGTAAGCACACATGTAACAAACATAAGGCATGAGAAGCAGGGACAGGGCACGCCCTCCCAGGAGGCAGAGTCCAGCAGACTGTTGAGGAGACAGAGCTGAGACTCTGGGGAGACTAAGGTGGTGAGAATTCACAGGCAGAGGGCCAGAGAAGAGAGTGCTGCCCAGGGAGAGAGCCATGGACCTTCAGAGGGCTGCTCTCAAGTGCTCGGCGAGTACTGAGTATCAGCATATACACACGAGAAAACTCTATGAGACCAGGGAGTATGAGCATATACATGTGAGAAAACTCTGTGAGACCAGGGAGAGATCCACCCAGAGGGCTTAGCGGGAACTGTGTTCAGCGCTCACACAGGTGAGAACAGTGCCTGGAAAAAGCTCATGAGGCATCAGGTAGAAGACTGAGAAGAGCCTTGCTTCAGTGATGGGGACTCCAGGGCAGATGCTACTTTGGCTCTGCCTAACAAGTTGGAAAAAAAAGGGATCAAACTGTTTCCAGTAAGTATAACTGTGCGCCAGAATAAAACTCAAGTATATTTTCAGGGTTGAAAAATATTCAACGTACAATAATGTAAAATTCACGATGTAGCATCCAACCAAATATTATACCACATGCCAATAAGTAGGAAATACAACACATAATGAGGGAAAAAACACCAATCAACTGAAAAAAACCAGAGCTGCCCCAGGTGTAGGAACTAGCAGAACATTCAGTTACTGTAACTGATTCCATGTGTTCCAAAAGCTGGAGAGAAGAGTAAACAGCTGAAATAGAGACATAACATCCATAAGATGACTTAACCAAGCTTCCAGAGATAAAAATGACAATGTCAGAGGCGGGGCAAGATGGCGGACTAGGCAGAAGGATTGCACAAACCCTCTTCAACAAACAAAAGGGAAACCAATTAACACAGACACAGAAGATAATCTTGGACCCCTGAGCCTTGAAGGAAAGGATGCAGATTTGGACTAAACCCCAACTAGCAGAAG